CACCACATTTATCCTCCACTCTGTGATGTGCCACTCTTATAACACAAGTATTGTCCCTTATCTGTTTGTCCCCATTATTGCTTAGCTCACACAATTAGCTGTAGTCTCGTCGATAATAACAGTTTCTCTTACCTACCCCCTGATATTATTCCTGTTGGGTTCTGAAGTATCACAACCTCTCATCTCATGTCACCGATCATCATTCACATCTCATCCCATTTCCCTCATCATTGATTCTCACCTCTAACCCACTTCCGAGTTCACTTCTCAGAATCAATTCTCACTCAGTTACATTCACTCCCTTCCCATTGTTGAACGTTCACAGCATATGCCACCAGCCATACGTCTTCACACCTCTAAACGGTCCCGTCATGGAAGTCGCAGTTGGTTCTCCTCTACCTGTCGACTCTTGCGAGCGGCTCTACACAAGGCTGGTCTCTCCTCCATGCTTGAATGTATTTTTGCCGACGATCTTTTCATTCTAAGACCTCGCGACATCCTCCGTTGCACCTACGGTTACCCCTATGAAGGAACTTCCCGTGAAGCTCTTCGAGTCTTCAGCGACTCCTTCAATAATGCAACCTCCATCCCACAACACATCGACACTGCCATTCACGCCGACCTCTCCTTCGGAGGTAGTCCTGTTCTCCCCACCATGCTCCTTGGTACCATAGCTATTCACAACTACGTTGACCCATCGGTCATCGAGGACATAAGAGCTCACAATCAAGCTCGTCTTCATATGTGGCTGGAGTCCGACGACGTCCTCCACACCCTCGAACAACCACCAGTGCCTTCACACTGGCGCCTCAACAATCTTACCTACCTCACCAGAATAACTCATTATCGTGACCAAGAGGTTGTTGCTGGCCTTAGGGACGGTTTTCCACAAACAAGGGTCATTCCCTCGGGCAACTTATTCCCCCCGCCAAGAAACCTAAACTAGCCCTAGGAGACAAGTCCTCGATGATATTCTCGGACAAGGACGCTTCTGCTATTTCAAGTTATCTCCGTCGGACTGCTCCTACGGACCACTAAATGAATACCGCTG